TTGGATATCATTTCGCATTCGTGGCCAAAAGAAATAAGCAGCCATACGATGGTAAGTACGAAGGGTACCAGCATGGCCTCCCAGGGGTGAAGCATGGAATTCTAGTAATAACAGGTTGATAATGTGTCGAGCAGAACTAGGAATAACCAATCGGTGTTGCTTGTATACCAGCCCATCACGGATTGTAAACCCCGAGGAAGGTTCTTGGACACATTTGGCGATCAATTCTTGGACCGCAGCATCCGTGCGTAAAGCAGCCATAATGTCTCCCATAAAAGAAGAGGAAACCCGGAGCATGGTCATACAATCTATTCGGGATAAAGAATCCGCAGCCCTATTCATTTTGCCGGGTTTGTATTCAATGGTATAATCATACCCCAACAACTTTGGTAAGAAAGATTCCTGCTCAGGAGTTTGCAGAACTTGATCACTGAGGTGTTTGAGACTCTGCTGGTCGGTGCGAATCACAAAGCGGTGACCAAACAAGTAGTGCCGAAATTTAGCGATAGCCTGGGTAATAGCATGTAATTCACGGACGTACGCAGACTGAGTCTGAAGCCGGTGAGACAATTGCTTGGAGAAGAAAGCAATAGGGTGATTGTTTTGACTCAGGACAGCCCCAATTCCTTTACCAGATGCATCAGTCTCCAAAACAAATGGTTGGGAAAAATCGGGTAGGACGAGCGTTGGGGCGGTAGTCAGAGCAGACTTCAAATTGTCAAAAGCCAGCTGGGCCTCATCTGTCCATACAAAGGAATCCTTTTGTAGCAATTTAGTGAGTGGGCTAGCCAAGTCAGCATAATGGCGAATAAAACGCCGATAGTACCCTGAAAGGCCCAAAAACCCCTTCAACTGAGTCACTGTGCGAGGTGTGGGCCAGTGTTGAATCGCAGCCACCTTTGTGTCATCCATATCAACTCCCTTGTTCGAAATGATATGCCCCAAATAATCCACAGAAGTACGGCCAAAAGAGCATTTAGAGAGTTTTGCAAAAAAACGATGAGTAGTCATCAGTTTCAATACCTCTTCCACATGACCGAGGTGTTGTTGCCAATTGTTACTATAAATAAGAATATCATCAAAGAAAATTAACACAAACTTACGTAGAAAGGGCCGGAAAACAGAGTTCATAAGAGCCTGGAACGTAGCTGGTGCATTAGTTAGACCGAACGGCATGACAAGCCACTCATAGAGCCCATGATGTGTTCGGAACGCTGTTTTCTCGCGATCAGCCGCATGCATCAAAACTTGGTGGTAACCGGAACGCAAGTCCAGCTTAGAATAATAAGAGGAACCCCCTAATTCATCCAATAATTCGTCAACCGTAGGCATAGGAAAGGAGTCCTTCACAGTGACAGCATTAAGAGCTCTGTAATCTACACAAAACCTCCATGTCCCATCCTTCTTCTTTACCAATATAACCAGGGCAGAGAACGGGCTGTTACTAGGTTGAATGAGACCCTCGTGCAACAATTCCTCAACCATCTTTTCAATTTCAGTTTTCTGACTGAAAGGGTAACGATAGGGACGTACCTTGACAGGGCTAACCCCGTCTTGTAATGGAATACGATGCTCATGGTCACGTGGTGGCGGCAAACTAGTCGGCTTCACAAAGACGCTTTTATAATCACGTAACAGAGTCTGCATATCCTCAGGAATATCATCCGGTAAGTCTAAAGCTGTATCATCCTGAATGGTTAAATGCATCATGAACAACTCGGAAACGGCATCCATATGGACCAATCGTTGTAGCTGATGAAACTCGGCGCGAGCAACAGTGGTGGGTGGTGTCCCCTGTAATGTAACAAACGCGCCATTGTTAAAGAACTTAATCTTCGAGTGTCCGATGGTGTAGTCGGCAACATGTGGCCCCAAAGTCGCAAGCCAGGACGCCCCAATGACCACATCCGAGCCCGCTATCGGTAGGACGTAAGCAGGGAGTTCAATAATGTGACCCTGAATTTGGATGGGTAGTGCACGGATCATACCTTCACCCTTCATGGCATGACCATCGCCAATCATGACCCTTACGTTGCCGACAGCCTCAACAGGAAGCTTCAAATGTTTCACAATCCTTGGGTGCACAAAGCTATCGGAACTGCCCCCATCCAGCAGAACCTGAACCGTGGAGCCGTGAATGGAACCCTGAAAACGAATCGTAGCCTTCCCTTGCTGACCTTGAAATGCATGGAGGGACAAATGATGCACGCTGGCGATATCTTCTGTCACGCTTTCGGAAGGTTGGGCAGATTGCTCAGAGGTCGGGTTGTTCTCCTCTTCACACTCCATGAGCATGTACTGCTTGTTAGGGCAACGATGGGTGGGGGAAAACTTCTCATCACACGTGTAACAGAGCCCCTTTTCTCGTCGAATGAGCATTTCTGCCGGAGACATTTTCTTAATTGCGGGTGACGGTTTCATCGCAGGTGTAGGTAGTAGAGGCGGGAGAGAGTTCTTTGCAAGCGGTGCTGTGGTTGTGGAATTGAGGGGTCTCGAATACCCCCCGGTCCTAGATGAACCCGGAAGGGAAAACTTAGTTGGACCCACTGTGGGCCCAATTTGCACATCAAACAGTTTGGCCAATTCAACGGCTCGCATCAAGCTATATGGTTTCTGGCCCACCACATAACGACGGGCGTCCGGTTTCAACCCGCCTGTGAAGCAGTCCAACAAGGCGTCTGCCGAGACGCCCTCTGTTCTATTAGCCAACACTAAGAATTCCCGACAGTAATCATCGGCGGCCCCGGTCTGCATTAATTTAAATAAGCGCACTCGAGGTTGATCATACGGCGAAGGACCATATTCGTCTTCTATCGCTCTGACCAGTGAAGCCCAGTTACTAATCATTCGTGTTTTTTGTTGCATCTGAAACCATGGAATGACCTCCCCTTCAAAATTCACCGAGGCGATAAGAATGCGTTGAATATCAGGAGTATGGTAATATGAAAAGTACTGCTCAGCTCGAAAAATCCAGGTAGTGGGATCGGTGCCACTGAATTTTGGAAAGTCCAGTTTGAGCGGTTTGGAAGTGCCGGAATACGAACTCCAATGGGAGCCACTCCCAACCTGGGGTCCCTCGTCACACCTCTCTGACCCCCTGTGCGGTGTCTGCAGCTGACGGCCCAGGTTCGTAATGGCCGTCTCCAACTTATCGAAACGAGGAAGTGTAGTATTCGTTAAAATGTCGATCGTTGATTCCAGCCGATCAAAACGAGCATTAGAGGAATTCTCCATGTTATCTATGCGATCCTTGGAAGTTTTTTCCATCAGGTTGATATACTCAGCTAATGATTTCACCTCAGCTTGAACATCTTTGAATCTCGTCGCCTCTGCCATACTCAACGAAAGCACCAAATGGAATGTTCTTATGAACGGACAATCAAATGATACGCAAGTATGTATAATCTGGATTTATTTATGCATATATGACTGTGTGCTCCGTATAATATCCAGATACAGCTCACAATACGTAATAACAGAAGCAGAGAATTAAGAAAGGAAGATGTCAGGGAAGAAACAGAATTTCCAGAGAAGAGAAGAGGCTAGAAAGGAAATCAGAGATTAGTCACATATTCCACACCCTCCTCTCTCCCTCTAACGACTTATATTCCTCACTCCTGCCTAAGTTTCCACGTGAGTCTTTTCTCACGGTTACTGCGGCGTGGTCCCTCGTCCGCATGCTTCTCGTCTGGCTCCTGGGTTGGGGCTGGTTCCTCTGTCATCTCTTGGCCCATAGTAACGGGTAGACTTCCTTGGCCCATAACACATTCTTTTGCCTCTGGGCAATAGTAACATATTTTTAAATAGAGTGAGTATCATATAAGTTCAATAATTTCAATATCGCTAAAAAAAAAAAAATCTAAGAGACTGATCACTTTGAAGGGTTTATTTACCCAAAAAAAAAAAACTATTCATTGCCTTCTTATCTCATTCAAACTTTAACTACCAGTCAGTTCTTTTTCGGCCTGCAATTACCATTCAATTCAATTTAACGCAAGCTTTTTCATTTTGGGGCGAAGCTGTCTTTTTCTTCCTCTCATTTTTTCCCCTAAAGTATAGGTATCCTCTTATCAGTCTTATTTAAGACACTATCAGATATTAAATGTGGACACCTCTCCTAGTGGAGATTCGAATATTAGTTCATCATATTGTGAGGAACTAGCCCCTTCTGTTAAACCCAATTCTCGTTGATTCTTCCCCCCATTTTAGTGAAAGGAGAACCCTACTCTTGTTTTGTTAAGAACAATATATGGGCCCAAAGGATCAGGCCCAATAGAAAACGTAATAATCTGCTGGCAGACCGTGAAGCGAGAAAACAGTCCAATAAGAATTGCGGAGCCCGCAGATGAGAGAGAGCGGTTTTATGCGAACAATGAACCGACCTTGGAAAGCACCACAAATGGGAAGGCGCGCTGCTTTTGTTCTCCTTCCAAAGTTGCATGGATCACACAGAACGGAAAGAGCTCTGCAATTCCATACACGTTCCACTTTCCCTATGGATGCCGTAATTTTAGTAAAAGAAACCGTTTACTGGGTGCTGTCATTTTCGAAGTGGCCTCTGGCCCTCTGCTCGTGGAAGAGTATCGGTTATATTCAGGTGTTTAGGAGAATGTTTATAATAAGGAGATTGAGGACTTGTTTAGAGTGTCTTATAAATAGCAAAATAGGAAGTAAAAGTGTGAAGAGAGTTTTGCCTGAGTAAAATTGCTTATAAGCATTTTACAAACACTTTAAGAAGCACACGAGTTTCCTGAGCAATCGGCAAATCGCGGGGGCCGTGCTTGTTTTAGGAGGGCCAAAAGCAGACTTCACTTTCATAATTCGTGTAATAACTAACAACAATGAGTTCTCCATGCCGGATAATGAATTGTGGAAATTACGCTTTCCGAAAGCTGCCACCAATACGGTGGAAAGTGGAAACGCACAACGGAAAGGAAATCAATGTAACGTATTCGTCTCCGTGTTCTGATACAGATTTCAAAGTGCTTTCGACATGATAGAGCTTTGTTTGAATAATTCTCGATTTTGCACAAATTTGCCACACAACTTAAACATGATCACTATAAATTCAGTGCCTCACAATTATAAACGCACTTCTATCAAATCATACACTTGACCATTTGCGCGTAAACTGTTATATTCCTTCCTTTTCATCTCCTTTTTGTAAGTGGATGAAGCATATATACGAAATCACAAATCACAACAAAACACTTTTCCTGTTATTATTCGCGAGAACACCAAGACTGGGTCTGTTTATTCACCATATTTAGGCTCATTCACTGAGCCAACTGCAAACAGTAATCTCATACTGGAATACCATAATCCGCAAAGCTAAAAACTAATCAAGGCCTAGCTCACCATGGTTTTAGATTTTAGAGCACTTTCAGCATATCCTCTGCACCACTGAATGTGAACGCACCGCCTTCCTCCAAGTTCAAGACCTTCACAACACCATCCTCAGCCAGAAGAGCGTACCGCCTGGACCGCACACCCAGTCCAACAGGCTTATCGCTCAAATCGAGCTCGCACCCAATCGCCTTGGTGAAAGTCCCGTTGCCGTCGGACAAGAGAAGCACCTCGTCGTTGACCTTCAAGTTTTCTTTCCACGCCTTCATCACGAAGGCGTCGTTGACCGAAATGCAGGCGATCGTGTCGACGCCTTTCGATTTGAGCTCGGATGATTTCTCGACGAAGCCCGGAACGTGCTTCTGCGAACAGGTTGGGGTGAAGGCGCCTGGGACAGCAAAAAAAATGGCCTTCTTGCCCTTGGTGAGTTCGGAAACGGTGACGGTTTTAACTTCTCCCGCAGGGTCGAGGAAGGAAAAGGTGGCTTCGGGGAGCTTGTCGCCGACGGAGATGGTGGCGGAAATGGCGGATTTAGCAGTGAAAGAAGCAGAGAGTGGGAGGGAAATAGGGCGGCGATGGTTGAATCTGAGGGATGAAGGGGTAATAGAGAATTTAGAAGAGAGGGCGGAGGAAAATGCTTGGGGAGGGAGCCGAGATGTGGCGGTGGTTGAGAGGAGCCGAGAGAATGTGATAGATGCGGCCATGGGGATTTTGAGAGCAGATTTTTGGGTGAGGAGTGAGAGCAGTGGGATGATGAATGAAGAGAGGCTGAAGAAACGACACCTGCGAGGCAGAAAGAAGGGGAAGAAATCCTCGCCTGCTTGCTGAGATTGTGTGGAACTAGGAGGATGGACAAGACAAAACGGGCAGCACTGCGAATAATACTAGGAAATAAATAATAAATAATTTATGTTATCTTACTATTTACCATATTACTATTATTTGGTTATTTAATTATATTTTTAAATAAAATCACACCTAATTATTTCATACTGGCTACTTTTTTAAACAATCCAACGCTTGTCGCGGAAAATTGGTACAAAGGGCTAGGGTGTTTGGTAAAAAACGGAATCAATTTTGTTTTAAACATTTTTTGCTAAATTAAAAAGTAATTTCCTAGCATAAAATTTTTTTTCTATCTATGTTAGTTTTCCTTAGGGTTGCTTTAAAAAAATTTTTACCACTGTTGTGTACACTTCATTTTACCTATGGTTACCTAAACTAGTTTCATACACTTAACTTCTGTTTTAAAATTGATGAATTAATGAGAAAAAGACGGTACCAAGTATGGCGGCACGCTTTACGCTGGCTAGCACTGGACTGCGGAAAGTGGTGGCGGGATCTGATTCTTGATGGCCATCGAGCTTGTTGAGGGATGCAACAGCTTAGAAGCCTTCCCAAGCTAATTCCCATCCCTGACCCTAATAACAGAATGTGGTATTGTTGGTTCTGGCTCGGGCACAATATTGGACCCGGTTTTAGCCCAAAGCTCATCACTTGGCGACCAATCTAAACTATCTAAATTAAACTTGAACAGTCTAAATTTAATATGTCTAATTATTTATTTTTAAATAAAAAATATTTTTTAAGAAAAAATATCTGAGGGATTATTGTTATTTTACATCCACTAAAGTAATAGTTTTAAAAAATAAAAATAAAACGAATTGTTCAGATTAAATTTTAATGATTTAGGTTTTATGAGTTTGGGGTGAGCGGCTCAACTAATTCCAACAATCTCAAGCATATGGCGTGAAAAGTTGCTTACAAATAAAAGATTATAGGTTGAATCTCATTTATTAATTAAGATTTTTTTTTTAAACGCTAATTACGGCCAGATGGTTTGTTTCGCTTGCTGGAGGTGGCCCCGGCTGAGGTTTAAATGAGGGCCTGATGACGCGAGCTGGCACGCTGCTAGAATATTCTTCACAGGTCTAAATCACGCACCCCGTGCTGCTCATCGCGCCTTTTAAAATTTTGTATCTTTGATCTGAGTTAATTGCCGGCCGTCACCATTGTTTAATTTATGTTTTATGGTTGGTCAACTGAAATACTGCGCCTTTTCATGACAATGCAACCAAAAAACCTAATAAGCCTGCCTTTTAGCTTGAGCGAGGCCCAATGCTGCAAATTTAAAAACCACGAGTGCCTCCAAATAAAATAAAAGTACCTACAATAAAACAATACTCGCGTCTGAAGTAGGGCCCAACCCAATTTATATTCATTCATCGATGCGTCCGTCGCATTGAATGTTGCTATTGGCGTGCCTGAAGCATCGCCATACAGCAATTTATTTATTTAAAAAATTATGTACATCTTGAAAGTAAAGAAAATATTTGCATGAATTTTAAAACCACATAATTTGCTTAAAATTAATTAAAAGAACGCCAGTATGTAATTTTAAATGGTATGTTAATCTGTGTTAGAAAAATTAAATGAAGAAAACCGAAATTCAAAAAATTGAGCTTGACCGTTAGCCCCTGGGGGCCGATGCTCCATTATCCGGGAAAGAATATTAGCGATATTTTAAGATGGGCACTCCCTTAAATATCTCTATCGTAAAATTCAGCATTTGGCAAGGAAAATCAGGAAAAAAAACAAATGTCCAGAGAAAATATTTGGTTGGACGGCATTGTCCAGGAACCAGCATCATTCCAGAATTATCCATCATGATCCTTTTTCTTCGTTTTATTTTTATGCCTCGAAGTTGCGCACATTTTACTTTATTAAAATAGAAAGACATTTTTTTTTAATTTCCAGTTAAAGTGTCATTGCTGTGAAGGTGAGGACATGTAGATGCGTTTTGGCCAAAAAAGAACATGCAAATATGTTAAGGGAATCATTATTAGCAGCCCCTCGTAACTCGGAAGCATTCGTAATAGAATTAATATATGATAATTTTTTAAAACTGATTATTTTCTTTCGACATCGAATCAATGCTGTGTTTAAACTCCGAAACTGTTCTTCCATGGGTTCCCGATTAGCATGTCGGATTAATTGCCAATAATATACATTACTTTTACCTGCCCCAGGTACCTGCGAAGAAGACAGTGGGTGGCACAACGTTTTGCTGCCTTGATGACGTGCTGCATGTGTCTACCAAACGTTTCCGAAGTCTGAACCAACAACTCACCTCACTTTTGGAAGATAGAAAGTAAAAACAAAATATTTTCCTAAAAATGAATTCCCGCGTCTGTTTTCCGGTAATATAGTCATCTTTCATGACTTGTTTCACCTAGAGCCGGGAATCAGGGCCGGCCCTTCAGGGCTGGCGGGTTTAAAAGGGCCGACCCTTCAGGGCTGGAATTTTAAAAATATCCCAATTTGCTAGGTCCGGCCCTTAAGTTACAGGGTCAGGGTCAGCCCGCGGGCTTTTGGCCCGTTTAAGAAAAAATACTATTTTTTATATTTATCATATTTTTTATAAAAATAAATCAATGAAATTATTAATAAAAGACATAAATATGAATAAAATTAAGTCACATATAAAATATCATCATATATAAATATTCATCAACATCTAAAACATTCATTAATAAGATAACAACATCTAAAAGTTTTATCTATAATGCAATTGTGTAATAAATAAACACTATTATTAATCTTTTGAAACTTCATCATCACTATAATTAATTACTTTTTTCATAAGTATACTTTTCTTTCGTAACAAAAATATCAAGTTTTTCTTCTTTATAAGAATTTTATTTTTAAATTTTGTAATCTAACTATTATTTTACTTTAATGTGAGAAACATTGCTGTTGAAACTCATGAATTTCTAATTCAAATTATAGAATCACAAGTTATATAAGTATAAAAATATTCTATTATCAAATATATATATAGTTTAAAAATATCAACGCATATAATATAAATCAAATCATTATTAAAGTCCAAATTAACCCATTTTTTAAAAATTTAATTGGATAAATTACTATATAAAACTAAATTTACTTTTAAATGATAATAATAACTAAATATTTGAAATATTATTAACAATGTAAAAAATTAATAACATTAATATTATATAAAAAAATTTAAAAAATAAAAAAAATATAAAAGGGCTTAAAAGGGCCGGCCCGTGGCCCTTCAGGGCCGGCCCTCCAAGGCCAACCCTCCAGGGCTTATGTTTCATTTTAAGAGAAAAATATCAAGCCTGACCCTTATAATTTCAGGGCCTAAAGGGCCGGCCCGACGGGCTCGGCCCGTTTTCTCGGCTCTAGTTTCACCTTACTCTCCCTTTTCCGGTCTGATTCTTAATATATAGTTTAATTATCTAATTAAATAAATTAAGAATATTAATTAAATTAGTTGATATGATATTTATTTTTTAAAACACTATAATTATCTTTTTTAATTCTTTTTCTTCCTCTTTTACTTGATTATTGATTATTGCCTAGTGAGTATTAATAGAGTTAATTAAGAAAAAAATTGACAAATACGTGAAATAAGTTTTATATATATATATATATATATATAATCAACATCAACTTTCAAATTAAGTTATATATTAACTATCAGGAGAGTGCGTATATATATTTATTTAATGAAATTCCACGGCACTGGCTTAGCTGAAATCTTTGACTCGTTGAAGTATGATTTTCTTTTCTCTCATTTCCTGTAAGGGCAACTTGTAGCTGAGTATTTGGCTGCTCTAGTTTTAAGAGAGTTGGGGGCCTAACGGTTTCATTCTTGAATCTCCACCTCCTTTAGCTACTATCATCGTTCGAGAAGCATTGGTTGATGCTGATCTTGGCCTCGATCAGCATCTCTCAGAGGCTAAAAGGGAGGGAATAGGCTGTTTTTATGATTTTGTTTAGCCCTTGTTTTCGTCATTGTTTCTGGTTTTGTTCTCTCTTTTCTAGCTGTTTGTTGAACCTCTTTTCAGTTTCGCTTGTTTCAATGAAAGTTTTTGTTGGTTTAAAAAAAAAAAAACATTGGCTTTGCCTAAATAGAAAGATCAGTATTATCTTTGATCTCAATCGTAAGATTTCGTTTATAAATTATAAATAAAAACCGAAAAGCTTCCTTTCGCTGGTTAAGAGAGAGAGAAGCTTTCTCTCTCGCTCTCTTCGTTTTTTTTTTTTTTGCCAACGAAAAGCTTCCCCTCTCTAATACTGCTTTTCACTGTTAATTGCTTCATTCATATAATATCTATATATTTTTACATTTCATAATTCATAACAAGAAGATACACTACTTTTCTTGCTCCAAACTAATCTATATTATCGAAATAATACGACGACGATAATTGTGATGGGGCTTTATTTTCAAGTGGCGGTCAATGTATGTAAATTTAGCTAGACGTTGAATCACATGACTTATGATTTTTTTTCTTTCAAATTTTTTTACCAACTAGGGTGGTTTTATTTAATTGTTAAATATTAAGTTTACAATAACATAATTTTAATTCTAAAAATGGGGGGAACTGCTTCCATTTCCATAATTTCATCCGTGCCACAAAAAGTGGTCAAATGATATTATTAGAACATAATCTTCTGGAAAATCGGCCACGGAATGGAAATAAACTTTAGGTAAAGAAAAACTGCTACGAGTGCCTGACTCGTCATCGGGTCGAAGGAATGGCAAAAGTTCACCGCAAGCCAAAAGGAAAGAGAATAAAAGGTTTTTACTTTTATTTCTCTGGGTGCGGGTGAAAACTGTGGGGTTCTCCGGCTCTAAACCTAATACAGCTGAAAACTTAATCAGGGTTTTATATAAGCCACTCTTCACTGCGTTCTGTGTTCTGGCTCTCATAAACAAACTCCAGCAAGTCGCCACTTCTTCATCCTTCGCTCGCTCACTCACTCCAGATCTATGGCTTCCATCCAAAGCATCAA